TTTTCAATTTTGTGTGACACATTTGGGGTTGAATTACAAAAGAATTATAGACTGTCCCCTTAGTTTAGAGAAACTTTTTGAACACATTAAATACCAAATAATGAGTAGGAAAATTAACTGATAATTGAACTACACATAACCTCACTTTATCCACTAAGCAGACATTTTACATTTGTTTATTTAATCAACAATATCTGCCCCATTAAACAATATACACCTTTACATTTTCAGTATATAGTTGTAATGTTGTTTTAAGTTGTCCATCAATTCAGAAGCTAAGGCTTCTGTTGCAGCTACTTCACCTATAGCACTTTTGCATGTTTCAGTGCCCAGGTGACCAGGGTTTTTCACTTGATTATATGAGCTTTGTTAAGCGATCATTCCCCATCACACTGCTTGGAGCAAAAGGGGAAGGGCAGTTCAAAGTATAGTCAAGCAGGTCACAAAATACCAAAAGAAAAAAAACACTGAGCATAGAAAACTGACAGGTGTCAAGATAGGAGACAGGAGTGTAGATGAGAGTCACTCAAGGGGTTGTTGCCAGTGCAGAAGGAAGTTGAGTGTCAATCCAAATCACATAGCAGAATAATGGGAAGGGTACTATTAACTGAAGTTAATTAGTTATAACTTACAAAATGTAATTTGTTTTTTGTTTTAGTTTTTTTAACATATTTTTATTATATAGTAACCGGAAAATAAAAATCTTAGATGATGGTTACTTTGCACTTTGATCCAGACCTCCAGAATGAACTAAATTCTTTTGATGTTGAGGAAGTTCTGGCAACAAGTTAATAATAGTAATAGCTGTGGTTAAAAAGCATCTGAGAACAGAATAATCCTTAAGGACCAGGCTAAGCATGAACCACTCATACAAAGTGACTTATGCCTGTGCTGTATACATTCTATTCAGTTAATGAAATGCTAAATCCTTGGGATTTAGGTATTAGTATCAAGTTTACTCTCAATTTCCTCACTTGTCATTCATTTTACTAGGAGCTCAGCCAATGAAACATGATAATTGGCTCATGCTCACTCTGAATAAATGTTGATGTATTCGATGTGGCATAATGCTACAGAAAATGTTGTGATGTATCAGCTGAGTTTACAATTACTAAGACAATACAGGATGAGCTATAGTTTACATACACGTGACAAGTTTTAGCTCACCCAGGAGAAGAACTAGTACTTGGGATGAGGGCTGGTACTTTTTTTTATTTGCTTAACTCAAATAACTGAGAACTGAGATTAATTTTATGTAATATAGATGCAATGTAGATAACATAAATGCACATTAGAGACTTTCTTGGGAGTTTCCTATGTGGTAAATCACTGCCAGTTAAAGAAATCTAGCTCATAAAAGAAAGAGTTTCTGAAACCAAAAAAGAACTGGAAAATGATCCAACTATTGATGCTCAAGTTTGTCTTATGCAGTTTTGCAGCAAGGCAATACAGAACATTTTTACAAATTATTCTGTTATTTTAGCAGGCCCCCACATTTTATTAAACTTCTGGACACCACCTCTATTTTATACAAAATTTTTCATAAGATAATGCTATTGATCAAGAAAATTTATAGACGGTAAGTTGGTTCATATGCCCTTAATATATTAGACTTTCTCTAAGAAACAAAAAATCTATTTTGATTTTGCCTAACTTTAATTAAATGTTACAAAGATACAAGATGATATTTTATATCTCATGGTTAGAGGCTATTATTGTTTATACTACCCCTACTGTATTCTAAAATGTAGACAGGCTGACATACAATTATTAGTAGACAGACAGTATTTGATAGCTATTGACACAGCAAGACAGACAAAATAATGTAACATATGCTTCTGGGTAAAATTATGGGTGGACATTGACTAAAAGCACACAACTATAACCCTTCCCTGTGACTGAGCTGTCCAACTGAATTGAGATATGGAAAAAGTGGAAAGAGTTTAACTAGGCTAATACAAAGGTATTCATATTAACTAAACTTGAAAGTTTAAAATGTTTAAAATTAAAACTAATTTTGCTACCATAATAACACATTTTATCTAATGGATAAATAAACCCATCATAATATTGCAACAATGTAAATGCATACTGTATATTAGAAACATCACAATGTAATAATCGTATATATATAGATATATATAGATAGATAGATAGATAGATAGATAGATAGATAGATAGATAGATAGATAGATAGATAGATAGATAGATAGATACACCGGTGTATATATATTTATAGAGAGAGAGAGATGTGCAGGAAACTTTTACAGTAAATACTCACTTGCAGAGTGTCAGAAACTAATCAAAATGTAATTAAAATGTAGATATATCAGAGAAAAACAACTGTGTGTTGATGATGATAAGATTATAAGGTGAATGGAAGAAATGTGGAAAAATGGGAGCAGGCATAACTTATGAATCATGTGACTGAGCTAGTTGTGAAAAAGTAAAGTACATGATGGAAAAAACTGCTATGTAATAGGTAATAATAATAATTAATAAACATTAAAACATATCTAAACTCAAAAACAAAAATGTTATATATTGCAGTTTAACAATCTTTAGATATGGCGGCTGCATTCATTTTCCTTTACAGCCTTTTTTTCTTCATTTTTACCTGGTGATCCGATCACTAAAATACTTCCTGTCTTAGGATGGCTAAACCTTACGGAGGACCAACTAAGCCACCCTTGAACAGCATCATTGTCAGTCTGGGGAGAGGGTAGTGTTAGACTAGAAGTTTTGGATGGACTCGGCTAACAAATTAAAGCCAACTTCTAGCAAACACTCTATAAGCAGTTACAGCAACAGTTTTTTTTTTTCCTTTTGGAACAAAGGTTTTACATAAATGAATATAAGCTGACCATTGTGAGCAAAGTCAGTGTTAAACAGTTTATTTCAATCCTCTGTTACTTTTGCCAGACACCTTGGTCTGTTAAAGGAAGTTGAAATATAACAGACTTAGTGGTTGGATCAATAGGTGAAAACATTGGAGAGAAAGCCAAAAAAGAAAAAAAAAAATGCAGCCACCACGTTGAACTGTTGACAGGAGGAAACAATTGGTCCTAAATTGTAAATTGAAATAAGTTGTAAATGAAAAATAAAAAGCAAGAAATTAAATAACACATTTAAAAAAGGGTGGCAACAATGTTTGGGAAAAATTGTGCACAGAAATGTGAATGGCCATAACAAGCTGAGGACAAACTTGACAAACAAAAGGAAAATAATGATTAGGCTAAAAATGACATGCTGATAAAGATTAAAAAGTCTGAATGGCCTCAATAATAATTGTATACATGTTAAACTTTTATGTTTAGTTATTATGAATACACCTGTGTTTATTTTTTTTATTTTATTATTATTATTATTATTATTATTATAAAGAATTTATATAGCGCCAACAGTTTTCTCAGCGCTTTACAATATACAAGAAGGAATGTGAGGGCCCTGCTCATGGAGTTTACAATCTAAAGGATTACTACTTAATATTCATTGTCACTGGTTGTTTTTTTTGGCAATATTTCCATATTATGAAGGGCTAATTCTTCTGTTATCAGTCAAAACTTTTTGTGAAATTACAGTGATTCTAGGAATTTTATCTACTTATTCTGCACTGTGTCTTAACGGTTTTTACATTTCACAATACTTTTCAGGTTTCCTGTGCTTTTTAGAAAAAGTTCCAATTCATTACATTTTTATTATAAGTATATTATATGTAACAGGATATTTATCCTTGGATGTGATAATTTGCATTCTATAAAATAGTTATCTCAGCCACCTCAGATGACAGCGTGATGCCGAAACACCTAAAGTGAGGTCTTGGAGTAATGTCAACCCACACACTGTCCATCAGCAAATAGGAGCTGCAGTGAGAGCCAACAGTGGAATCACTGATATGCGAGGTATCCTTAGTGTTGGGTTGTTTGCAGGACTGCATGTACTTGCTTTGATATCACTACACAGTGGTGGACATTTTTTTATTTATTTATTAATTTATTTATTTTGGACTCTTTGTATTTATTTGTGACTCACCATTCATAAGTTAACATCACCCTTGAATGTTCACAGGATATATAGTATATGGGGTTATAGGCTTATCTGTCAATTATTGTTTGCATATTTTTCCATTTACAAAGTGTATTTACCACAAGGGGATAGTTGTAATGTTTCCACAAAGTTTTGAATTTGCATTTTATATTTTCTACTTATCCACCTATGTGGATAACATTATGTTCTATATACATATTCTTCATAAACCCCTCCTGAACAAGAGGAATTTGGTGTGGCCCCTGAAAAGTGTTGGCTGTTTTGTGTGCTCCTGCTGTAAACCAATTTTATCATTAAACAAGTTTTGACTCTTCGCAATTTGTTTGGCACATTTGTGTACAGTTTATTGCCATCTGTGTCCCATTGTGGAGATTTTCCTTCACTTCCCATCCTGTAGACACAACAGGGAGAGAGAGGAAAACTCTCCAAGGTGAACCAGAAAAGGTGTCCTCACTGGAAGACTTTTCCTCTGTACCTAAGTGCTGATGAAACCTAAATGTTCTCTTCACTTTAGCCCCAGTGACATTGGTCACCAGAATAAATAGAGAAAGCGAATTGCCCTAGAGGGGATACAGGCAGCAGTAAACATCTGATATGGGTTCTATCCTCTTACATCTCTGGATGTTTGGGCCTTAGATATCCTTTAAACCTATGACACTGTTCAAAGTAGAGTTTAGTACCAACATATGACAGCACTTTGTCACTGAATAAAAATGCTCATTAGGAAATGATAGTTCAGCATCCCAACACAATCTTTGGACATGTCTGTAAAACGTTTACTCTTCGGTTCTTAGATCAGAGATGACATTAACAGTAACATTTTAACATATGTGAATACCAGAAATATAGTTCCTTTGTCACATGGAAGTTGATGTCCATTTAGCAGTATCAATGAGTTTTTTTTTGTTTTTTATGCAAATTCTTTTTCTGTACGTGAGATTCTGCTGCTTACCTATGATTTGTTTCCAGAACCGAGTTTCAAAGTGCTTCCCTTTGACTGTAGTGACACATTGCACAATCTCACTGAGACTGTAATGAGGTGATGAGATTGTAAATCCAATCTTTGGATCCCATTCCATTCCAGGCTGGTTGACTTCAGATTTATCAAAGTACTGAAAAAGAATAAACACTTTAGGACAAGAACGCTATCCATTAACTTCTTATATGGTGCATATAATTAATAAAAAGTGATGTGATGTGATGTGATGTGGAGAAAACAAACTGTTTGATTTTTCAGAATACAGAGGAATTGTAGAGCTTTGGGTGGGATAAGACCTCCATTCCCAGGTCTACATCTTACCTGGTAACCAAACCAAAACTCTCTCTGCCTGTTAATATTCCCTTTAGTGAGGAGATCTGTTAGTATCATTCACAGAAGAGCAAATGTTTTGTTAGTTTTAGGCTATGGACTTGCTGTACAAAGCCCTTCTGCATTGTAATGGTAAGTGACACCTTGATGAATACAAGTGCAGGACAAACCTGCTGTTCCTAATTTCCTAATGCATGTGTATGTGTGTGTGTATATATATATATGGGAAAGAAAGCAAGCATGAGTGGCATTGACTGTGATAATGACCTACAGCATCATATATATAACTGTGTGCTCAATAAAAGGTATTTCATCAATCACATATTTGCTATCTTTTTGAAAATTTAATTTAAAAAATACCAGTTTGAATGCTTACTATGAATTGCACAAAAGTTTGAATGCATCAACTAGATGTAATGTGTAATTTGTTTTGTACACATATCTAATAAATCATTGTAAAATGTGTCATGTATGAGACTGGCCCCTGGTGGACAAATTGTATACAACCATAATGCCTGCAGAGGTTATCTCCATAACTGGATCCACAGTACTCTTTGTGGGCGATCAACCTGCTGTTATCAGTGATTTGCCTTTATTCACAGTGGTTTATGTTACTATGGAACACTTTTAAAAGTGTCTAGGCTAGTGGCATTAATACATAAAGTGATTGTATCTTAATTTTTTTTAATAACAAACAGGTCATACATACCTGCTCTGTACAGTGGTTTTGCACAGAGCAGCCCCAATCTTCCTCCTCTCTCACAAGTCCCCTTCCAGTGCTCTTAGGCATCTCTCTACTGTCAAGTGCCCCTAAGCAGCTTGCTATGGGGGCAGCAAAGCAGGCTCACTGCCAAGATTCTGCTCTGTGCATCCATTAACACAAAAACATGGCTCTGCCCCACACCCAATCTCTCCTCATTAGCTCACTTTCTTTGATTGACAGTCATGGCTCCTGCTGTTGACTCAGTCAATGAGGAGGAAGAGTCCCGGGACAGCCGGTGCTCTCATGCACATTGCTGGGCTGGGGAGGAGGGGGGGGGGGGGGGTTGCTGCACACAGAAGGTTATTTGCCTTCATGCATAGAATACAGCCACCTTAAAGTTAATATGCTCAGTGAAGGGTGTTATGTTCCTTGCTTTGTCAACATTAATGTAAATGTGATCTCCAAGCTTAACTTTGGAGGGAAATCCCACCGCCTCAACTTTATATATCATTCATGTAAGGAAAGTAGATCTCTGAAGTCCACTTTAAAATATAGTTTACTATCTTAAGATCTTTTCTGCCTTCCTAACAGAGTGGACTTCATTTGATCTTTTTAGTACATAATATCTGATTTTATGCTAAGTCAAAATTTCATCGTGTTTACTTGGCCAACTAATTAGTCCCTTTAACTGATCTGCAGTAGCTTTCAGTTAGAGACATAAAAGGGATGTCAAGGCAGTGGAGTTAAGACATAACTCAGTAGAGAAATTGTGTCACGGGTCCGGGTATGACCAGAGATGTGTGGACTGACACAGGGAAACGCAGGTTCCAGTATGGTGTAAACTATATAATTTATTAGAGGCTATACAAAAATATAAACACACAATATAAACAAAACTAAACCTCCAACTGATAACGGAAAGTACAAGCACACAGACAAGAGTAGTCAGGGCTGGTGAGGTGGAGTGGTCAGGCAGGCCGGGTCAGGAACCCTTGGGCAGACAAGGTACAAAGGAGCAGGCAGAAGAGTGGTCAGGAATAGCCAGGGTCGGTGCAGGCAGACAGATCAGGAGGGCAGGCAGACGACAGGATCAGGTTCAGGCACAGGGGCTCATGGGAACAATACACCAAGGCCCTGATTGCAGGCCTGGTCCTGCTTAAATACACCTCCTGCAATCAGCCTCAGGTGATGGCTTGACTGCAGGAGTGAGATTCTGGCTGCTGAGAGCACCCGCAGGCTAGCACTGGTACTGCAGCCCACAAGGCAGGTGAGTCCCACCACCAGTGGCAAGTCCATTCCTGACAAATTGCCTGTGAATGTGTTTTTAAAAAAAAGGGTGAAGTCAAAGATCCATCTCAGCTATGCCCTTCATTATCTCTCCTATTTTCTCTAAATATACATTATCTTTGTATCAGTACCACCCAGCGTTGCCAATTCCTAAAATTACTGGCACATATACAGTAAATAACCCAGTTTCTGGGGCTGATTAAATTCAGTTAACGTAGTAACTAAATTCAACTAACCCCAGAACCTGCGTAGCTTGAATATGTCATTAAGGAAATAAGCTGCCAAGCAGGTTCTCAAAGTGAACCATGCAAAGACGAAGCACACTCTGGTATATAAATGTTCTAAACAAGCTCCTTAAAAAAGTAATCATTCACCTCTGTATCTATCAGCTTTGTGGAGAAATTTTGTTTGTCAAATTTTACAAAACAGGCAGTAAAATCTAATAGATTTTGGCAGCCTTCTAATGTAAACATACAGCAATTGTCCATCTTCTGAAATCTGCTCACATGATCTGACTGCCCTGCTTTCTATTACCTACACAATCAGCTCATGCTAAGAGAATACTTGATCGGCAGAACATTTGTCAAGTATGATGACATGGGGGGGGGGGGGGTGCTTTAGTGTCGGTCAGCAATATAGGTAGAGTGTGTAGTGGAATGGCACTGCTGTCACTGGAAGGATCCACCTCCAGGCACACTCTGAGTTGTGGAGCACTGGAAGTAGTAGAATTACTGCCATTTTACCATGGCATCACTGATGCAAGCCACAGGAACTGCTGCTCAGATCAGGATCAAGATTTAGTGTCTAACACATTTATTGTGCTGGCTGTAGAGCAATAAAGTAAAAAGTAAGGTATGCTGGTTAGGGTATAAGCATTGCTACAGATGAAAAACAATATTTTTGACTCCCACTTCTATGACATCACATACTGTCTCAGAAAGGAACCATTTTGTCATTCTAAAATAATGGAAATCCATTTGAACGTTTTTTTTAGTCTCTTACATTTTTATGTGTTGCCAAATTTTCATCATGTTTACCCAGATTTTCTGTGAAAATACATACAGTATCAGGAACTGTGGATCAGTCATTGGAAAGGTCCTGACTGTAGTCTATAGGAACAGCATCAAATGCAATATGTGCGGCTTAAATGCTCTATCATGGCCAAAACCTGGTCTTGTTTTGTCTGAACTTCAATACCCAAGATAAGATTTTGTTTTACAGAAAATGAAGGATCTTGGAGTGACATATTGCAGTTCCACTCCCATTCCATACTTTAGTAATTGGTTCCATATTTCCTCCTCCTATCCATCTAATTCAACATACACTTGTCTGTTCTGTTAAATAAAGGCAGGTGTTTATCGTGATTCCAAAGCAAACGCACGGTTCATCCCATAGGAGCTGTCAATCACCACAAGTCTTCATGACAGTATCTGTAGTGTATCTCATACATCACTGCAGTATGTACATAACTAAACTGCATCCAGACACAATATACTTGGGGATGATTTACTAAAGATAATAGGCTGTTCTCTTTGCAAGGGAAGTTACACTGTGCATCGAAATTATCCCCAGAGCTTAGTGAATGTGGTGTAATTTCACTTTGCAAAAAATATCCAGCCAGGTGCAAGGAAAATAAAAAAAACAGAATTTTTGCTTGCACGTGATTGGGTGATGGAAGTCAGCAAAGCTGCAAACTGCAACTTCCTATGTATAGTGAACAGCCTATTTTCCTTTAGTAAATCAAACTCTTGGCCTTTTCAGGGAATATTCTCTAGTTAAAGACTCACATTTTATCTGGTACCTGGTCCCCACCAGAATATCTTGGTTTGTCCCCAATAACCCACCTTGTTTTTGTGACTGTGGAAGCTTAGGTATGCACTTGCACATATGGTGGTCATGTCCAATAGCTCACCCTTTCTGGACTGACATTTTCCAAATCATTTCCACACTATTCTCAGAACTTATTGCCCCAGATCCCCAACTCACCCTATTCAATGCCTGCCCACTGGTTCTCATTTCAAATCAATTTACACTGTTTCTACAGGCTGCAAAACAAACCATAGTGAAATCCTGGAAGTCCTCCACTCTTAATATACTGTAGTGGAGACCAAGCACATGATTACCCAAGCCATAGTTCATGTGAAAATTGAAGCAGTTTTGTTGGATAAAGTACTAAAATATACTAAGCTTTGGCAACCTTGGATAACTCACTATCTCCCTCCACATTACAATTCCTCCTTGCTGCTTCCTTTTAACCCTCCCTTTACCATGTATACACTTGGAAGCCTGTCTTCTCTCAATCTTCTGTTACCCCTAAGCCAATTAAACCGAGATACCAAGATAACTACATTTTCACTTTTCCTCAAATGCCCACCAGCAGTCCATGTGTCAAAAACCCAGTGCTTCTCTGCTCCCCAGCTGCTGCATGTTATACTTGCTCCCCTGTCAGTCACTGTGGTTCCTCCTGCCTGCCCACAGATCACAGATCACAGTAGGTCAAGTAAGCCAGGGGAGGAACCTTTAGGTCTGACGTCCATTCCAAGTTTTCAAGCTTTGTTGAAGTATTTTATGTGCATTTAAAACACATATTTCTCAGGTTTGAGTACTCATATTTAAGAACTAGTAAGTAGGAGAAGGAGATGCTAGAAATTGCATGGAAAATGTGCATTATGTGTGTTTTTAGGAGCTCCCATTGCAGTATATTAAATGCCAAATTCTGCCCCCAAAAAAACTCATGTAGCAACACGCTTTAAGCGACACATCACTCAGGTATAAATAAGCACAAGATACAATTGGAATCCTCATGCTAAGTA